GGAAACTTAACCCAACAGTGTCAAAGCTTAATGTGAACACATCCATATAATGACTGTTACAGTGGATGGTGTGATCTGATATCATAGGCAATACCACAGTAGAGTGATCTCTCAGTCTTTTTCCTCAAGAGCCCTTGATACAGTTATAAATCTGTAGCTAAAGCCGTCAGCAGTGAAGGAAGCCAGACCCCGTCTAACCTCTTGGTGTTTCATTGCCTCTGCGTATGTGTGTCTGTCTGTGTGTGTGGGAGGAGACCGTCTGTTTGACAGACAGACAGCAGCTAATGTAATCACAGCTGGAGGAAGAGAAATAAAGACTTCCTTTATCCCATGTCATCTATCTTTAGGTTCCTTTTTTCCCTCCCTGGTTTCTTCCTCACTTCGTTCTGTTCCTCAGTGAGTATAAAGGCTAAAAGATAAAGGGAGACTCCAGCTGCCTGCTAAGAACCTGTATTAGCATGTGTATGTATGGGAATTAGATGGTAATAGCAGAACCTCCCTCTGGCACACCAGACTCAAGCAGTTATCATGAGTAATTTCAGTGGTAGACCGTTTTTCCCTGTCCTCTTTAACTCCCCCACTCAGTTTGAATATTCCACTCTGCTGTCTTCTTTAATTGGCTTTGACTGCAGTAAACAAGTTTAGGATTCAGTGTACAGGGATGGATTGTGTTTTCTCATTCTGTACAGTAAACAAAGTACGGAGAGGCTAAAACTGTGTTTGAATATGCAAACGTCTTCACTCAGCAAACTTCACAGTGTTGGAAAGTGTGTGTGTGAGAGATTGTGTGTGGGAATGTTCTACAAAAGCATTTATATTGGTTTCGATGCTCGTCTTCACTTTTTGTCTCTCAAAATGAAAATTGATCACTGTGGATGATTTTCATCCATCCATCCATCATCTCAGCTAATTTACTCACTCCTCATGCATGAAACCTCAAAGTTAACCGACTTTAAAAATTATAATTCTCATCACTACTGAAGTATTTCTTTATGAATGGACTTTTTATTTCCCCATACCCATTCACAACAAGATTACAAATGTAGAGTTTCTCAATAATCTTTATCAACTTGACTCCTCAAACACCCATATTTTCCTGCCCTATTAAACATCCCATGTGACATTTATTCCCATGCTGCAACCCTTTCTAGATCGGCCATCCGTTTTTGAGGAGGCATTCCAGGCATAATGCAGCTCTTGACAATAATTTGCCGTCTAATCTTCATTCATTTTTGAAATTACAGTTATTGGCTGAAGGGGATGCTATAATTACAGGTCAAAACAAGGTGACGTATTTCAGTCATAAATTCTGCTTGGCCCAGAGGGGAAAAATGTTCACTGCTACCTTTCTGCTTCATTGACTCTTTATGTATTTTGGTGCTGTTAAAGCTACATGACAACATTTGTGACCACCAGCAGGTAGACATAGTTGCGATATAATTTAATCAGGTTCTGAGCTTATTAAGCAGTTATGTACTTTCAGCAGACGCAGAACTACATGATCATCAATTGAATTTATGGTTTTGACCAGCCGACAAATGTAAGCCCAGTTGTCAATCTCCTTTTAGCTCTGGTTAGGTTTCCAGACCCCTTTGCTTGACTTCCTTAACCAGCTAATATTTTACTTCTTTTGGGTAGGTAGCACATACGCATATACTCAACATGTTTGTTTTGTTGAAAGCCTTGAGACTTAACCATACAGTCTGTGTCCCAATAAATGAGCTAAAAGTGTCTAAAAGCTGTAAAGAACTGCTAAATTGGGTGTTAAGCCAATATCTTCAAAATCTAGCAACTCACCAAAACAATCTGGATGGATAAATAGCACTACTAGAGAAAATTAATGAATTCTTAGTAGCACTGTTATACTGCCATTATGCTTCTCCAGACCTGATTGTTGGACTGTAAAATAGGTGCGGAATCCATCTACCCCCCTCACCTTTCCAACGTTAGATTGTCTGTAATTGTCCGAAACCAACAATCTGACATTAACTCCTTCTTCCCACAGTGATTGGTCAGTTGTGCAATGTCAGAGTGCAATGTCTTCCAAAAGAGACTTCCAGAGAGTGTGCAATGTCGTCCCCGTATTGAAACTATATTGCATCTCCCTCTTCTCTATGAGCCTTTCAGTGCAGCAACTATAAATGTGTTTGATTTCCAACGTGGTCAAACTTCATGATATACCAACCACTTCTAATATAACCAAGCCCTTAGTGACACTTTTACATTAGAAGCTGTCTTTTATGTTAAATGTCGAAAATATATATATATTTGGTATTAAATGCTGGCAGCACTGCCCAGAAATGATCATCCAAATACTGTGGAAGGTACTGCTAATGTTTTCTTTCTTAGAATATTCTGTTGATGATGACAATAGATGGACAACTGGTTTGCACCAGTAAATGTAAATTATTTTATATAAGTGGTTATTGGTTAAACTACCATTATTATAAGAATTTGTGGGATAGAACAGTAAAATATAGGTTTTTTTGGGCTAATGTTGGAGATTACTGCTCAGATGTATTTAGAATGGGATTTCTTGACCCATCTGTGTTGTATCATATTCAGCTGCTGCTGCCAGTCTGTTTATGTCTGTCTTCCTTTCCAGTTTCTCTATAATTGAGAAAAGCTCCTGTGTCCACGCTGCTTGAAAGCCAAACATGTCACCATTTCTCCTCTCTGATAGTTCGACTGCTGAATCATCTTATTCACTCTTCCAGTTACTGAACATTCCGTTTGCCTGACGAGACTTTAAAAAGCAAAAGCAACAATCCTGTTTAACATCCTTTACAGGCTGAGGCTGAGGTGTCTGCAAGTAGCCTCTGTGAAAAAAAAGGCTGAATGATGTGTCTCCTTTAAAGATGTGCTTCAGAGAAAGTGAGCTCATTTTATGTGATCTTACATGTTTCTGAGGAGTCTTTGCCAACTTGCTCTCTTCTTTAACACACACACACACAGCTAATATTCATTAGGTGATGGCAAGAAACAACTTGTCAACTTGGGTAATTTCCTCTCATTAACCTAAAAGATCCAACTCAGACAGGCTATCAGTCATATATTCCTCTCATGGAGAGTGTGTCTGCATGTGTGTGTGTGTGTGTTGGTGGGGTGGTGGTGGTGTGTGTGTTGTTTGGGTGTGATCACATGGCATCATGTCTGGGCCACCCAAGAAAGGTCTTAAGGAGAGACAGATGGTGAAGTGTTTTGGCATAGATCCCTCAAGGCGGGTTCAGGTTCAATTTAATCAGGTGTCATCTTGTTTGCGGACCCCATCCGGCATCGAGACTCCAGTCACTTTGAAGCACCTTGCGTCTCCTGTTAGTAATGTGACATCATTTGGATTCAGTCAGCAACCTAGTTGTTCAGATTCGGAAGCCATGAAACCATTTTCAGAAATGGTTGATATCCAGTAGCCAGTTTCTGTGATCTAACTTATGCAAGCTGGGAAAAACAGGAACGTAGAGGTGACCCCAGCAGAAATCAATAAAGTTGTCGAACCAGTCATGTATAAAGCGAGCAATGCACTTTTCTTTTTGCTTCAGTAATGTGTTTTCCATCTTTTTTATAGTATAGTTTTATATAGTTTTAGTACTGTGCTGTTTTGTGGCAAAAACAAAATATTAAAGTAACAAAGCCACATATTCCCAAAATATGGCAAAAAGTAGGGCTGCAACTATCAGTTACTTTTCCTTATCGATCAATCTGTCAATCATTTTCTCGAACAATCGATCAGTTGTTTGGTCCATAAATTGACAGAATTGTAAAAAATGTTTTTGCCTTCAGCGTCTGACACACACAGTGGCTTATTGAGGAACCATTCTCTGGTTTAACATTTTGAAGGATTGAGAAATGAAAAACCCAATTTCCCCTTCTTTTTTTTGGGCCACTTCATGCGATTCATATTTGAGTCTTTTTTTCTGGCAACTTCTCAAGTATATGTCTTAGTCGTTTTATACTTTACTCTTCCCAGTGACTGTGTCAGTATCTTATTCAGAAATGTGAAATATCAACTATAAATGCGGCCACGTATATGATCCATGAAGTCTTGCTTGTGGGATATTCATGTGGAAGATGGCGTTAGGTTATAGCATGCTTTATTGTTCTCTGTGCCAGCTGTGGACCTTGTAGCACTCTTTTTTGTGGGTCACTCCAAGAAGGTGATTAATTTGGATAAAGCCTCACTGTGTGTGCCCTCATACCTGTATCCACTGAACAATGGCATCGGATCCCCTTTGGACCAACATTGGGTTTAGATATGTTCGACTCTTGCCCACTTTCAGATGTTGCTAGTTTGGATTTCATAAATGGGGCTGATGCTTTATTTTAGTGTGATTAAGGCACCATGTCTGCATAACAAAAATATTTTTGACTGGTTGAATGATGGAGAGGGCACAATGTGTGACTGGTTAGCAGAGCCTTGAAACAATTAGGATGCTTGATAGTGTTAGATGAAGGAGAACTGAGTCCCAAAGCTCATTATTGTTGGAGTGGAGTGTTTCAGTGCCACTGATCTGTATTCTCAGCCCTGCTCTTCCCACACTGGTGCAACTAATCAACAGTTCTACATTTCAAATTCAGATTCTTGTTTTGATGATGACTTGTTCTCTAAGGCATTTTATTGATGCCATTGCTTGTCCTGATTATAGTTATTTATTTATTAATTATTTCTTGTATTTTTTTCTGGTGTATTTGCATCCTCAACTTTGTAACTTTTTGTGAACTTGAGTTTTGAAAACTCATATAATAGTTTTAGTGAACTTCCTTAAAATCAAACAGCTATCAGTGTCATCCTCATACATTATATAAATGTAAAGTAAAATATTGAATGGTCCCTTGAAAGAAATGTTGGTTTTTTTCAAGGCAGTGATACAGTCCTGCCAGACCATTCAGTGTTTCACTAATTGTTCAGATTTTCTATCTTATTTTCTGGCATATTAAAATGTTTTCATTTCCAGGTCACTAACTATTGGCTTCACCCCCCTCTCTCTTCTCCCTGATGACAGGCTTCAGAGGAGCCATCTCTGCTGATGTCCAGCCCCAGGATGCTGCTCCCTGCATCGGGCACGCTGCCACCAGGTGCCCCCCTGTCTGTCCACCACCAGATCCAGCTCCTCCAGCAGCAGCTCCAGCAGCAACAGCAGCAGACACAAGTGGCCGTGGCACAGGTGCATCTCTCTCACACAAAAACACATGTAGAAAAAAAGGTTCAAGCATGTATGGCAATGTTAGAGATGCATACCATACTTTTCAAATTCCCTGTGGGACTGCAATTCAGATTCCTCAAATACGCTTGATGGTCATTACCATAACGAGGGGTACTTATAACTTGAGCATATGTTGCCGTGGGAACTGTTCTTCTTCTCTGAAAATATACGGGTTAATTTGAAGTGACTAGAACAATGACAGCAGCATTACTCACTCATTCATGCATGGGCTGTTTCTTTGGCACCTAAAGTCCATCATGGCAACAGTTGTTGGCAACATCTGGAGGCAATTTTAAAATAAATAAAAAGGCAAAAAGCGGAGAAACTCAGGAATCATCAAACTGTAGTAGTATTGTATTTATCCTCATCAACTTTACATTAGTGGAATAATGTAACCACTGATGTTTTTTTAGATAAAATTTGTATATATTGAGATAAATAACGTTTATTTTCCACAAGGTATACATTTTTGTTTGCCATCCTCAAGAAACACATAGGAACATTCATCCTTACACTTATACACTACTCACACATATAAATATAAGAAATAAGAAAACAAGCAGTGAAGTGCAGTAGGCTTATATCTTGGCATTTCATTTATGCTGCGAAGAAAACAAAATGAACTTGTTATTTTTAGACTTGAAGTGAACACCTGAACACAAGCTATATTCACAGAGCCTTCATTCTCTTCTAAACAGCCTTGTCCTGCATTAGAGAAGTATGCAGTTAAATCAACCAAAGAGATTGTAGAACCATGGCCAAGTGTCAGGGAGAAGAAAACACTGAATTTATTTAAAAAAAAGGAAGTTTATTAAGTACAATGTATGCAGGTTGCAGGTTCCTGGAAGCTATCCCAGGAAATAATTAATACATTTTGTATTAAAAAATTGGCCATCAATGGCCACACCACCTGGGAAAAAGAAGCATGCGATCAATTGGTAGAGCTCTAGGATGATTGACGGAGTGAAGGAGATCAACTCCCGCCTGCAATCCAATCTGGATTTGAAAAAGAAAGTTAATACCGAGTGCGCGCAGCATCAGACATCAATCACCCAGCGCTGAGTGGCTGCAGAGGGAGAAGTGACAGCAGTGGCTTCGGGCTTATGAGCTGGATGAACGCACACACATGCAGCTTGTCAGTCTGCTCGTAGAAGGCCACGAGAGTTGAAACTGCAATTTCACAACTCCACACATCCTCTTTCTCGTGCACCCTCACACACACTCCTGACCCTGAAGTGTCCCAGACAGTTAAATACAGAAGTCTCGTGGCTTCCACAGACAGCTACGGCGATTCCTGATGAAACCGCCTGTTCACACTGAACTAGCTGTTCCCTTCTCTTGACCTGAGCAACGTTAGACTGACGGCTGCTACAGCTGACAGCTCACGCATTCAGACTGAGCGTGCCCAGACATAAATACCATTAATTATACCTTGATGAAGCCAGAGGTCACCGCCCGCTGGCAGAAACCCTGGTGTACATTTTAAAACTGCTTTGGCACATGAAGGAAGTATTTTACCTAATGCAGAACATTTCAAGTATGTGCTACCCTCAGGGTGGTTCTGCCTGACCTTGGCTCTTTTGCCATTTAGCAAGGTTTCCCCAGCGGTCGTGACTTGTCTGAGCTGTTGTTACAGTTAGTTTCCACACCGCATCTAAATTACTTTCTACTGACTATTCAGTTAGTTATTTGTCTATTAAGTCTAACTCTGTGTGCTGCTCTTGCTATTGTCTTAAAGGGTGCAAGATAAATAATGTGATAGGGAAGGAATATATATATATATATATTTGCAAAAAACTTGACTTCAATCTTTGCTTTCTTTAATGTGACTTGTTGGATATTTCTACTTCTTTGGGCCCCTAACAGTTATTATCTAAAATCTAAAATAATTTTAAGTGTACAGATTTAAATCAGCCATTTAAGTCCTTTTTTATCAAGTAAAAAATACCTAAAAAGGTGATTTATAAGTGGATTTGGTGCATTTCTGTTTTATTATAAATAAAATATCTTTTGGTGTTGATCGGACAAAATAATATATTTAAAGACGTCACCTTGGCCTCTTGGAACTTCGGGGTTGCATTTTTCATTATTTTGGAACATTTTATTATTGGCTGAATAAAAACAAAAAATTATTTATGTAGTTGTGAATCAGTTTTTATTTTCTCACATTTCTCAAATTAAAGTAAAATTTTAATTATTTAATTAGAATAAATGATTGCCCCTTTACTTAATGAGTGCAGTTGACGGCAGCTGCAATTTGGACCGAGATCCTTGTTTGTGTGTCTATTTACACACACACACACTTCTTACAGTTTCATGAGACTCTACCATCATTACAGACCAAGTGTTAGGAAGAGAAGAAACTCTCTTTTTTCTGGATTTTTATACAATAACAAATAGTCTCTCCTACTCCCTCGCCATCTCAGACAAACTCCCTCTAACACAAATTTAAACTTGCCCGAGGCTACTTCTAACCAGCCGACATGAGGGAGCAGAGCTTACTCCACCACTGAAGGTCAAACAGTAGAAAGTACAAAGCTGATTAGTTCGGCCCAGATAATGCACATTTTGGGTGAAGACATAGAGGAAGAGAGGGATTAGTTGGCTGACACATTAGTCAAATGTGTGTGCATGTCTGTACAGTGTTATTTGTGTATGTGTGTGTGTGTGTTATTAAGAGTTCCAAACTTTGTTTCCCTGGTGTCTTTGCCTCACTTTCACACCAGAAAATAAACTGTCATTGTTCTGTTTTTTACTTTTTGGGTTTTTCAAGTGAAACTATTCCTTGAAAACATCTCACAGGATCACAAATCATCTATCAAAGTTATGTTAAAGGAAGATATTTCTCTTGTTTATGATTTGATTAGGTCTAACAGCTGGCCCCCACTGATTTTACAGAGTTGTCAGGTTTGAGTGCAGCTCTGCCACGATATTCACTGCAATCGCAAAAACACACAACGATGATAAACAGATATACAGCCAGGGAAAACTGATTTTTTTTAAAGGAATATGCTCTATGTCCCTGGCTGTATGTCTTTGTTTATCACTGGTTTTCACATTATTATGGCAGAGCTGCACTCGTGAAATCAAACCCTGTTTATGATAGGATTTTCTAATATGATTTACTATCCGTATTTTTTCAGCATCAGTCATTCAATATTTACAGGCTGAAATTACCTCTCTATGTACAATATTCATTTAAATTTTTAGTGGTGGAGTCCGTCATTCCTTGCAGGATTCAAATGGGCCCCGCGTACACCATGGATTCACACAAAATGATTTATCATTTAATTAAGTGTTACTGTTTTTAATAATTTTTTTCTCATTGATATCAGCAGCTAACTGTTTACTGTCACTTACCCACAGCTGTATCAGAGCTGTAAGGAATGCTACTGCTAACCAAACATTTTCTATTGCTCACACAGACTAATTCAAATGGTGTAATGTAAACTGGGTGAACCATTACTTTAAATTACTGTATAAATCCAGAATGGATTTAAAGCTTCAATTAATCAATCACAGCTTAATATTTCCTCTTTATTTAATTTTAGGCAATATTAGTAATAACTACAGATGATAAATTAAAGAAAAAAATATTTCCAAGTCAGTTTAACTCTACTGGAGGAATGAACAATATGAATATGTAAGTTCTTATTTGATGATTGATTTTGATTTTGATGGTGGTGGCGAACGCTTTCCAACATGTCACTAGAAAATCTCCAATAGGCGTTTTATAAGGTGGAGATGTGGTGCTTTTGAAACATAAGATTGGCATCATTGTCATCCATCCATTCCATTCAGTGACCCCTACATCTGCATTTTTTATATCTCTTCCCTTAGTTATTCAGTTTAATTGAAACAGATGATTAATGCATAAATTGATCTTCAGGAAAGTAAACTGGAATTTTAAATACTGACTTTTGGGATCTGGGAACTTAACAAATAATCGATTAATCAGGAAGAAAATCTACTGATTAATTGATGATTAAAATAAGGGGTAGCTTTAGCCCTACTTCTCTTGAATTTGTCACCTGTCTGTATTTTGCAAAAACCAGCTGCAATTTAAAGTGATTTTGCAATTTGGCAGCATATTTTTGAAGAAATCAATTAAAGGGGATGAAGTAGTGATTATTTTCACTGTTGCCCCTTGTGCTGATGAAAGTGCCAGTGACTTTGTGGCCCAAACTGGCAACTGGGAAAATCTTCTTGATGTTGAACCCCGCTGCAGTGCCTGAGCAGAGGTCACAGTGAATGGAGGAAAATTAGCGAGCTGGCCAACGCTAATCACAGCTCGCTCAGGGATGAGTGGAAGCGGAGATGTTTAATGAAGTCAGGGCAGTGACAGAGTTCATCGACGATCTGTTTCAAGACGGAGTTAGCTCTGCAGACGCTGCTCTGCCACTGCTTAATGACATTTGACCTCTTTCAAGCTTTGTTTATCTCTCCTTCAATCCTTCCCTGCTCCATTTCCTCCCTTTCATTCCTTAGGTCTCCTCCGTTTGTTCATTCAATACCATCTTATTTCCTAACATTTCCTTCTTTTCTCCTGCCACCTACACCTTCCTTCCTTTTTTCTTTTTCTGTTTCTATTCAGCAGTCTGTCGTTTCTCTTTTTCCGATTCCTTTCTTTCTTTGCTCAAACTTGAACACATTTAACGCTCTCTCCGTTTCTCCCTGCTGTCCAACTGTTGCTTGGACTTTTCTGATTCTCTCTCTCTTCATCAAGCACTCTCTCACCATCTTATGCAAATGACAAGTGTAAGTGCGTTTCTAATGGCTTCCTTATTGTTGCATTAGCAAAATGATCATTTCCCCTTCCATTTATTCCTCCAAAAATGTGGTAAAAGCAGAGACGATCCAATATTGGAGGGGTTTCAAACACTTCCACATCAAAGGGACCTGGCGTGGGCAGGGAATGCGATGATAGTAATCCTGTGTGAAGAGTACATCATCCTCAACAA